ATGTCATCCACAAGATGTGATAGTAGGACGACAGAAGAAACTAAAAGCATGATGTCTGACTTAATTCTGTTTGTCCTGAGTTACATTTGGCACATGATCTGCAACCTGGTCTGAGCCTGTTTTCCCAACTTGGGCCTATTTTCATAGTATTGGCAGCCATTCTTATCAGTAATAATAACATTTTTATTCAGCTTAACAAGACTGATATGGGTTTGTATGAGCTCGGCAGGAGCTGTGTGTACAATGGAATCCAGAGAACACCAGCAGTAAGACAGCCTAATTTTTAAAGCATTATTGGGGCTAAAATAAAGCTGAAATGTTGTTTAAAGCTGTTCTTAAACTTGTATAAGCAGGTTCTTAGGTTTAGAATGTTTAGAGAGCTCTGACATTAGAGTGTAAGTCAAAATAAGGACGTCACAGAGCATGTGCACTATTCTTTAAAGATTTTGTCAACAATTTTGAAGAGTGATTGAGTGGTCACTGTGGGGTGTGTGGGGGGGTCTTTTTATTTACAAGATAGGGACTTTTTTGTGTCAATTGGTAACCATGAATCTGAGCGAACTACAATCACATGTGGGGTTCCTCAAGGGTCCATTCTCGGACCACTTCTATTCAACATCTATATGCTACCCCTAGCCCAGATTATGGAACATCACAACATCTCCTATCATACGTATGCCGATGACACACAACTCTATATCTCAGTGTCATCACATGACTACAGTCCCTTACTCTCATTGAGTAACTGTATTCATCAAATCAATGACTGGATGTGCCAGAATTTTCTCCAGGTAAATCCAGAAAAGACAGAGGTGTTAATTTTTGGCCCTAAAAATGAAAGGGCAAAGATCAGCGCTCACCTTGGCTCTATGTCATTGACAGCTACAAATCAAGCCAGAAATCTTGGTGTTATTATTGACTCAGACCTGAACTTCAACAGCCATTTAAAGTTTATTACTAAATCTGCCTATTACCACCTGAAAAACATAGCTAGAATTAAGGGGTTTCTGTCTAAACAAGACATGGAAAAACTTATTCATGCATTCATTTTTAGTAGGTTGGATTATTGCAATGGCTTATTTACAGGCCTTAACAAAAAATCAATCAGACAGCTGCAGCTGATTCAGAACGCTGCCGCCAGAGTCCTTACAAACACCAGGAAACTGGACCATATTACACCGGTCATTAAATCGCTACACTGGCTTCCTGTGAGTCAAAGAATAGATTTTAAAATCTTACTGCTGGTCTACAAAGCCCTAAATGGTCTCGGACCAAAATACATGCTTGATCTACTGGTTCCCTACGAAGCATCCAGACCCCTTAGGTCATCTGGAACAGGTTTGTTGTGTGTTCCAAGAACAAGAACCAAGCAAGGTGAGGCAGCATTCAGTTATTATGCTCCTCACCTGTGGAACAAACTTCCTGTAGATCTGAGGTCTGCTCAAACTGTCAGCTCCTTTAAATCAGGGCTAAAAACACTATTGTTTACTGAAGCGTACTCTTAGATTAAATACTTACCTGCTGTATTCTACTGCCCGTACTTTTTAACTACACACTGCTGATTTATGCCTTTTATTATTTTACTTCTTACTGTTCTTAGATGCAGTGTATTGAGCCTGTTTTTATTTTATGTTACTGTATTTTATTATCACTATCATTCTCATTTATTTATTTATTTTATGTTACTGTATTTTATTATCACTATCATTCTCAATTTCTATTTCCCTTTTTAATAGACTGTTTTTATTGTTTTAAATTGTGTCTTGTTGCTTTTAATGTCTCTGTAAAGCACTTTGAATTACCTTGTGTTGAATTGTGCTATACAAATAAACTTGCCTTGCCTTGCTTTGCCTTTAAGAGATTTAGTGATTAGTTTACAGCTTCATAGAAGCAAATATAATAATGGCACTGGCAACTCCCACTTGTGCAATTGCCATCCAATTATCCAATGAGAATGGGTCACCTGTTGTAGGCTGACTATATATGCATGTGCCCTTTTGTCTTTGCTCTCTCTGACTCTAATGAAGACACAGTGGTGTTGAAATGTTAGTCTGTTTGCACTAAATTAGGGTGTATATTGGTTTTCTGTTCTTAGGCTGAGAGGCACCTGATTTAGCCACTTGCTGTAAAAAAGCGCAGAGAACCCAGTGTCAACTGGGCAGGTTATATTTGTTTGTTTTGACCTACAGAGCTCAGTGAATAACAAGAACTGTATCAATGTGCAAAAGGGTTCAAATGAAAGTGAACCAAAACACAAAAACTATAGAAAAAAATGTGACTATGATTAGGGAAAGCAATGCAGAGAAACAGCTTGCTTCCTGTTTAGTATTGTATCCCCATCAACAGTGTGTGGATACAAAATTTTAGCAAGAATGGACCTCTTCCACTGCAGATATTTCGACATGTCGTAGCAGGAAAAACACAGGTGTAAGTAATTACATTAATTCATGATGGCTGCATTCCATTTGTGTGTGCCAGTTCCAAGGCACTGACATTATGCATGCTGGCTCACTCCATGGCTTACTGGAACACAATTAGAACAGGGCCATCATTATATCATTGATCACACCTGTTTTCTCTGCTGGTGAAGTCAAAATGTCTGCCATGGAAAAAGGCTCTATTGACAATTTCAAAAGGGCTGGATTAACTTCATGCAAGAATCAAAAATGTATTAAATTTTAGAGCAGTGGTCAAATTGATCCGATTGTGCTCTTTGGCGGGTGTAGTTTGGTAGAAAAAAAATAGTTCCTACATTAAAGTGCTAACAACAATCCCGAGGCCTGTACTACGAAGCAGATTTGGAGTTAGCGAGGTAACTTCGGGGATAACTCAGCACTACGAAGCTGGTTCTCTCTTTAGTGGGATAAATCACTGTGGCAACTTCTGCTGAACAGTTAACCTGCTCCGGAGCAGGTTAACTTCAGGGTATCAGATCACAACCTGTCAACATCCTGAAATCTGACCAATTAGATCACTGAGGAAAAAAGTATCCATGAATGAAAGTCTGAGGTGACAGGCAAAAAAGAGGAGCCTATATGCTTTTATAGGTCAGTAGAATCATTTAATATTACCAGGGTTCTTTTTCCACTGGTTTTAAAACAGTGCTTCTAACAAATGGAGAGATCCTTTACAACACTAAACACATGATTTTAGCAGGATTTGAAATTACACAAAGTTTACTTCAGTCCGCAGTGACAGTGCTGCTACTTTTACACTCTGATTCCATCACTACAGCTCAAAATAACATGAGACACCTGTGTGATGAGAACTGGGATAAAACAAGTATTTTATTAGTAAAATAATCCACAGATTTTATTGGCTCCCTTTATTATAAATGCCACATTTTGTTCAGATAGACCTCATTAGTCATTAACTACTTTTCCACCCTTTACTTCAGCTGCATAAACAGTCTGGTGTTACTTTAAAGTGTTTTATGTGACATATTCAGTAGTAGTAGTATTATTACTATAACTAAACTAAACATAGGCCCATAGTGATAGCGATAGTAATACCTGCACGTAATTTAAGCCTCAGATGGTTAATTTTTGGATGTTGCTTTCAATGTTTCTAGATCTTCTGTATTATGGTTTGTCTTTTACATCCCACATTACTGTCTTGTCAACAACACACTTTCACTACCGTTTCATCATATATCATATGAAGCAGCCATTCATGGTTCTGATGATGACGCTTGCAATGAACAGCCCCGCCCCTTTAACATGAAAGCGCTCGTGGTTGGATAGGAAAACCCAGAGTCGACTGAACTAGTTGATAACAAGCTTTGCAGTACCTGTTATCCTGACAGCCAATGTTAGGGTTGGTCAAGCCAGATAGCGAGAAGATATCCTGGGTAAGTAGAACTGGCTTTGTATTACAGGCCTCTGTTCCTGATAACCACTGACTGGGTTAAGTAGCAAACAACATCTGATCGTACACATGACATTCAGTGGGGCATGTTTGCACAGCTGGAAAACCTTGATTTTGCTGATGTTGAACACATGGCCACCTCCATACAGAGACTGACAGACTCTCAAGCTTTGCCAAGAAAAGTGGCCTCCACCACAACAAGAGGAAGACCAAAATGATGGGGGTAAATGCACCAGTTCACCCACAGACTACCATCAATGTTGAGGCTTTGGAGGAACGTTGAGGTCTTCACATAACTTGGTAGCCTAATAAGTAGTGACAATGGCGCTCAAAAGGACATCAAAGCCTGGCTCAACAAAGCAAGAGGTGCTTACAGTTGGCTCTGTAACGTCTGGAAGTCCAAACAGTATAGCATCAAAACAAAGATCGGGCTATATATCAGCAATGGTAAATCAGTGGTCCTTTATGGTTCCAAGTGCTGGAGAGTAGTGCAAAAAGACACCAAGTCAATGGCTTCCACAACAACTGCCTCATATATTAATGATATTTGGAAGACGCACTGTTGCTTCATGGTCACAAAATGTGACTAAATAGTCAAGGTCTGGGGCTCTGCAGATACATATCACATGTTCAGTTTGCTCACATTATTGCTTTAACTCAAGTTAAACTGTTACCACTGCGCCTAAACGTGGGATTGATTCACTGTAAACTGGAAATAAACTATCAACTCTCTAGTCCATTTATCAATAATATTTGCAAGTTGCAGTGGTGCTCCATGGTTGCAAAATGTGACTAAATATTCACGATCTGGGGCCATACAGATAAGAAAAACACAACTGCTCACACACTATCGCTCAGGAGAAAGTGATCTGGATGGGCAGGAAAGTGTGCGAGAAAAACGACGAAATGTGACAAGTTATACTGTTGGCAATAGAGTCATTTTGTACATCCCACGAGAAACAAGCTGCAATACGTCTAGTATAGTCAATATATCACCCACCATTACTACCAAGAGGTAAATTCTAGGCCAAAAGTTCCACCAGTGGTGGTGCTCCACAGAATGTTGTAATGACTGCAATCAAGGAAATTAACACTTCCAGACTAGATAGACGACGTACAAAAGAGATACTGCATGATTTTTCTCATCTATTTTATTGTTCCACATACATTCAACATCAGTTACAGAATCATTGTAAAACAGGCACACAAACATGTGTGAAGTCTAATATATAGGCCAAAGGAGCTGTCTGTCAACACAAACATAAGCTAAAGTCATGTAACATACTATTGGAATGATATAGTGTTTATCAAGTTACATGTAAAAGGTAGCAAAGAAAGTGAGAGAGCGTTGGCTTTATACCATGATAGTGTTCAAGTTCTAAAACACAGCTGGCATTTTAAAATGTAAAATGTTTCTATAAAATCTTCTGGACTGGGTTTGAAAACTGTGTTCAGTCTTTAATATGATGCATCATATAGGCCATATCACTCTGGATTAAGTTACAGTACAATCCATCACAGAATATGCAGAAATAACTAATCATCGTCTTTTTCCCCAAAACTAACCAGATCTGTGTAGGAACTACCTGCAATGTTTTAAACTTTAAACACATTAAAAACATAACAAGTCCTCCAACCCATTAGACCACAGAGGTCATATTCCTACCAGCTAAATATGACCCATAGGAGCATTTCCTAAATTAGCGCACCTACTAATTGGGTGTGAGAGAAAAAAGGTGTGATAAAGGGTTATTATACTTGATTATCACAATATTATGTGATACTATATCAATCTATAAAAACACTCGATTTTTAATAATTGGTTTACACACAAAGACTTGTGGCAGTGGTTCATTTTCTGTTGTGTTTAAAACCCCAAACTAGATAGCAGGGTAGTAAACACGCCAAGACAACAACATATTGTTAGCATGTTACAGGGACTGTTATGAATACAAATGCAATCCCACTGCTCATATTAATGTAAAAGGTGCTATGGTGGTATGTTCTTTATACTTTGACAGTTTTCCTAAAATTAGATTTAAAGAATCGCAATCTGTCACCTTGCCTACAGTATCACAATACATTCATAACCCTCATAACCCTGCGACACGATACATATTATGGGCCGATACCAAACAAGTGGTTTACTTTATGAAACTGTCACAGTTCCACCAAAACAACAGTTAGGTTAGTAACACAATATTATATTTATTCTTTGGACAATAATACGGTATTTGTTTATATCACAAAGTCTGCCATGATACGATTTTGATTCGATTCAATCAATTTAGGGGCCTATGATCAATATGAAACATTATCAATAAAAATCCTCACTGTCTTTTTCTTGGCTGCTTGCTGTTATCTGCCTGGCGCTAGACGGCTAGCACTGACTGAATGCTTAGGAAGGAGGTGTGATTGGTTGGAAATGGTGACGCAGGTGTCCCATGGGGATTTCAAGACGTTTCGTAAAGATAACAATATGTATTGATGTTCTCAGTTTACGTGTCATGAAGGTCACTTTACATGACATTCTACAACATACTACGTTATACTGTGAAAATAACTCAAACATTACTTTTGGTTTTACCTAGGGCACAAAGTCTCCTGGATGGAAGTCCTGTGTTTGTTTGACCCATCCACCGCCCCTCGCTCACACCCTCCGTGAACTTTGTTGCCTGATTTCTTCCTTTGCTCCAATAATAATTATGACTGCCACTAGAGGTCCTGCCTAACAATAAACATTAATATGGGTTGGAATTTCTCCTTGTGCAAACAACCTATGTAGTGGTATTTTGGAGGAGGACAGTCTCAAAACAAAGCATATATAATGTAGTGTGTGCACTTTGAAAGAAGAAAAGTGTGTGTACAATAGAAATGGCACTCTCAGTAAGTATACATTCAGTATTCACAAATAAGGCAGGTATGTCTTGAGTTACAGGCTTTGGCATTAAGACATGTCATGATGTGTAGTCCTCTGCAGCGGAATGAAAAAATAATGTAAAAAGGCTTTTCAAGCCTCACAGAAGATAGAGATCCCAATGACACCCCAACATTCGCATGTTTGGCTAATGACATTCATGTGTGTACAAGGCAACATACTAGTATGAAGAAATATCCCATATAAGGAATGCAAATTCCTTGTGTCAACTCTTTTCACAGTACTGACAAGATTATTGATGATTTATGGAAGGCAGTTCAGTGGTCATTAAGTGTAGGGTGTCAGAATTAAAGCCCCTGTTTCTGGAAGCCTCTGCCCTGCTGTAGCATCCCTGAATAAGGCACCAAATCCCTTTGAGCTCCTGGTAATAACGACCCTCATGTTTGACCTCCCTGTGAACAGGGAAAAACAAAGTCTCCTCTTGTGGATGGAAGGATGTCAACATATTATCACTGTCATATACTGCAGTATAGTTCATCCGCTCAATCAGAAAGAGACTGCAGGGCCTGGGTACGGTTCCCCACCACACCAGAAGTCCTCTGGCTGAGGGATTTCTAGCAGCCATGTCTCCTCTTCTTTGTCCTTTTCCTCTCCCTGCTGCTCCTTGTTGGTCTTTCCATCTGTTTCCCCCTCAGCCACAGTTTGCAGGACTTTGTAATAGTGACAGTCACGCCCGTCATCTGGATTGTATGGAGGTGCCAGGATATCGAGGAACGCAGCTGGCCCCTCCACTGCGTCAATCTGGTGAAGGTTATCCCGTAGAGGAGTAAGGAGGCATGGCCCGCTGGTCTCTGAGTATTCAGAGACTGAGCGGAGTACAGAGCGCCGCAGGGAAGCCATCTGGCATGGAGCCAATGGAGGCTCAAAATGGGGTGGCACGGTGCTGACGGTCAGGTTATCCTCCAGCTTGTCAAAACAGCGGACACTCACCTTCCCATAGAGAACCTGAACAAGAGACAAGATACAGTCAGAAGATAATCCTACCGCTAACACCATAAATGACAAAGCACTGACTTGTACAGGTGACTATTATAAAACACTGTTATGTAAAGTAAGGTCTTACTGTCATCATTAGAAAAAAATCTCCTCTCACTATACATAGATCACCTTTGATTCTCATATTAAGAACAGGAGGTGCATGATTAAAGGTTTCACTTGATTTTAAAATGATTATATCACTCTGTTCTTGGATTTAACAGGATTTCCGCACAAAAATTGAGTTGATTTTAAAAGAAGAACTCTGGATAATTATTCTCAAAATTATAGCCATCTTTACATTCTGGTGTCATTCATTTATTTTCCTTAAATTATGTGGCAACAGTTTTAGTAAAACAAAAATTCCTCTCAGTGCATTTTCTTTGAGGTGGACAAAAACATGATGACTATACAGCGTCATAACTGCTGCAGGTGAAACTTTAGTTATGTTTCTTAAGCAATATCACACTCGAGCTCGTGATGTTATACTCCTATATCGTCACGGCTGTGATTCGGTCATTAGGTCCGAAGACAATCACAGCCGTGACGATATACGAGTGTAACATCACGAGCTCGAGTGTGATATTGCTTAAGTAATATGTCACCGTTGCTATGTAACGCAGACATGGTGCGCCAGGCACTTACTCTTTATACACATTTATCTGCACATTTCCATTAATTGTGCAGCCGGTGAAATAAGTGACTGCATGGTGGACTGTCGCTTCACAGGCACAGCCGACTGCCTTCTGATCTGACAGTATGTTGCTTTTCTCCAAGTCGTTGAGCTCCGCTGATGAAGCACTGACAAACCTGGATGTGTGCTCAGATGGATTCAGCTTCTCCTCTCCCTCATCTTCCTCTGATGACCATTCATAGTTCAATTCAAAACTTATTTTAGGAAATAAATCCATGTTTTTGGCTGTTTGACAGTGGATGAATTAACTAGCCTACAACGCAACTGCTGACCTAACTGATACTAACCGTCAGTTTTGATTTGATTGTTGATTGCAATCAGCTGTGAGGCGGAGTGATACATACACAGTGAAATAACCGTGTTGTTGTACTCCAATATTGTCACGGTTTTACTGTCTCTCGACCAATCAGATTGCAGGGCCGGAACTAACTGTTGTATAATTTATAATAAAAGCAATTTAAGGCCAGACTACGTACAACAATTAGGAGTAGTTTACAGGTCTGGAGAAGGCATTTTTGATTTAGCACAGAAACTTCATTTGAGATCATTTTTGCAGTTAAGTGCTATCCATTTAGAACTGGGGAGACTTTAATGTTCTGTTATGTAAATATCTTGCCTTTTATTTTATTTTCTGTTGGCTTTGCTGACTGACAGCTGTCTAGCCGTGTTCACATGTGGATCATAGTGCCCACTGCCCACCCTCTGCTCACTACTGGTTAGCTAATGTTAGCCTTGGCAGCTTGGCACTACGCACAATCCAAATCGGGTAACAGTAAGCCAGCAACTCTGCTCATTCAGCAATTAATGCTGGCAACACTGCCACACCATTGGGATGGCGTTGCTGTGGAAACATGTTGGCCACCCTTCAGTCTCCCCCCACAGAGCCTCAGTCGGTAAGCTAACAGAGTTACCTGAAAGCAATCTGAGGTGAGACCGGAGGGTAGCAACCATGTTTCCACATCAATGGTGTTGGGACAACCTTACCAGCAGTAATCACTGAATGCACAGCCCAACTAGCTAGCTCCCACCTGAACTGTGCACAGTGCAGAAAACTGACATACATAAACGGTCATCAACATTCTCAGTGGCTAACCAATTAACCACTGGCATCCCTTGAATGTACATAACATAAATGCTATATATTATATGTCTTAAATGGATTACACCTTAATGACAAAACAAGTTATTGGAAATAATACATTAAGAGAAGAAGAATACCAAATCATAAGATCAAAAACAACCAAACAGTGTCAGAGTCCATATGTATGCATGGCTGGGGTGCCCTGATCCAACTTTTTCTTTGCCGAAACTGATTCCAATACCTAAACTGAAGACACTGGCCGATAGGTGCAATCAAATACAGCTTATTTTTGGCTTTTTTAATCAAAATCTCTATAACCCACTGTGTGGTGATTGCTCTATGTGAAAGGTAACATGTCACTATAATTACACACATCACTTAACCATTAGTGGAGGGATTCATACACCAACATCCGTTTCAATTATACAGCTCAAAAAGTTAATAAAATGATGTTGAAGTTTCATGAAAACAGTGACCGAGAAACAGTACTAAACTTGGACTAGTTACTTCTGGTTGTTACCCGATCAGTTTAATAGAATCAATATCTGCACATATCAAATGAGTTTATCATATCGATCACGCCTAGTGCTGCAACAGTGTGAAGTTTTCACAGTAACATAACCATCTCAGAAAATATTGCAGTTTCACAGTATTATGTATTAGTATTATTTTTTGTTTAACAAACTTTTTATTACTACAATTGGAACTTAAAACCATTTTGTTGATGGAAGTATGTGTAAAAAGTCTCCCCTTTGAAAATAACTATAATGAAGGGGAGACTCTCCATCCAGCTGCATATTTTTGTTTTGATATCACAGATAAGCAAATGTACACAGTATGATGACCGTCAAGTTTAATATCATAGTATACCTTGCAACCAGTATATCGCTGCAACCCTAGTCATGGCCACAGGAGGCCACAAGGCCAAAACTTGATGCTGGTCCCTGCTGACCCCCATAGTGTGTGGACCCTATCACTCAAATTCCAATTAAGTCCCGTGCAACCTGTGTTCCTAAAAATTGAATGATACTTTGGTTTGTAATAATTTGATGATAGGATGATCAAGATTTGTCTTTTAATTCTCATTTAAAACAAACCTCACGGACTGCATTTTTTCATCTGCGTAATATTGCGAAAATTAAGCCTATCCTGACCCGAAAAGATGCAGAAAAATTGGTCCACACTTTTGTTACCTCAAGGCTGGATTACTGTAACTCTATTATCTGGTAGCTCTAGTAAGTCCTTAAAAACTCTCCAGCTAATTCAGAATGCAGCAGCACGTGTACTAACAGGAACTAAGAAAAAAGATCATATTTCTCCTGTTTTAGCTTCTCTGCACTGGCTCCCTGTAAAATTCAGAATTGAATTTAAAATCCAACTGTTAACTTATAAAGCTCTAAATGGTCAAGCTCCGTCATATCTTAGAGAGCTCATAGTGCCTTATTATCCCACCAGAACTCTGCGCTCTGAGAATGCAGGGTTACTCGTGGTTCCTAAAGTCTCCAAAAGTAGATCAGGAGCCAGAGCATTCAGCTATCAGGCTCCTCTCCTGTGGAATCATCTTCCTGTTGCGGTCCGGGAAGCAGACACCATCTCCACATTTAAGACTAGACTTAAGACTTTCCTCTTTGATAAAGCTTATAGTTAGGGCTGGCTCAGGCTTGCCCTGTACCAGCCCCTAGTTAGGCTGACTTAGGCCTAGTCTGCCGGAGGACCCCCTATAATACACCGGGCACCTTCTCTCCTTCTCTCTCTCGTGTCCTATTACTGCATCTTGCTAACTCGGCCATTCTGGATGTCACTAACTCAGCTTCTTCTCCAGAGCCTTTGTGCTCCACTGTCTCTCAGGTTAACTCGTATTGCAGCGGTGCCTGGATAGTGTGATGTGTGTGGTTGTGCTGCTGCCGTGGTCCTGCCAGATGCCCCCTGCTGCTGCTGTTATCATTAGTCATACTTCTACTGTTATTATACACATATGATTATTGTCACATATGTATACTATCAGATATTAATATATTATTATTAATTATAATATTATTACTTTCATTAATGTTGTTGTAAGCTACTGTTATTACCATCTGTCCTGCATCTCTCTGTCTCTGTCTCTCTCTCTCTGTCTCATTGTGTCATACGGTTTACTGTTAATTTATTATGTTGATCTGTTCTGTACAACATCAATTGCTCGTCTGTCTGTCCTGGAAGAGGGATCCCTCCTCAGTTGCTCTTCCTGAGGTTTCTACCGTTTTTTTTTCCCCCGTTAAAGGTTTTTTTTGGGGAGTTTTTCCTTATCCGCTGTGAGGGTCCTAACGACAGAGGGATGTTGTATGCTGTAAAGCCCTGTGAGGCAAATTGTGATTTGTGATATTGGGCTTTATAAATAAAATTGATTTATTGATTGATTGATTGACTGATAAAATACAACTTCTTCAGGAATATGCAGAATGTGAGCATAATGACTGAAATAATAAATCTCTTTAAGGTTGATTTTATAAGATATGGCCACATAACTAGCTAATAACGCGACCCAGTTAAGTTGATAATGTAATCAGTGATACAAATTCCCCAACAAATTTGTAATCAATAAAATGATCAAAACCACATAATATGTGGCGAAGCTGAGGCTTTCAAAGCCCCTTGGGGATCTGGGGACAGTTGCCCACTTTGCCCTGCTGATAATCCAGCCTTAATACTGGTGCATCACTACTAGTGTGGTGTGGGCTCTATGTTGAGGATGTCCTTTTTGTGTGCACAGGGGCCCATCTCCACTGGGCCCTTTGATGTACAAAGAGTGCAAAATGCGTATGTAAAGTGTTGGTTATAGTGACAGTAACATGGTGGCCCCAATACATTCCATGCTTTCTGGGATAAAAGACTGGTAACTAAATTTACTATAGACTCTAGTTGCCTAGCTTCAGTTTTGGCAAAGGTACACAACTCATACAGCATTCCTAAGACATTTAGTTTTATAATTCGTTTGAAAGATAACCCTGGGTGAATTAGAGCGTGACCAAATGTTTCTTGAACTATCATTACATAGATGGTTATTTCGTCACAAAACGTCTAAATTGTTGGCTAATATGCATTTCCCTGACTGTCCGTAGCTAGCTTAAACAGAATAATATTTAAAACCTGTATGTGCTTTTTTTAGTGGGTCTACGGCTACAACATAGTAGACAATAAGGTGTAAAAGACCTTGAGCATCCCGTTCATGCCCGGGTGGTCGTGCAGCGGTATGGAGGCGCCGGTCCTTAGCAGGAACACCCCAATGCTGAACACCTCCGTCTCGCAGATGTGCATGTAGGCAACCGGGGGGCTCTGCAGCCCCGCTGTCCCGGAGCTCGGCTTGGTTTTCCGGGGAGCAATTTTCAGGTCAGCAGCCCTGACCGCGGTCACTAAGGAGATTAGTTCACTCTGTTGGTCCGCAACGAGTTTATTATCCCCGTTGGCCGAAGACTTTAAGCCTTTAAAGGTGATATGGGCTTGCTTTGCTATTTTCTGGATAAGAGGAGTTTTGTTGTCCCGCGGCATTTTGGCTCAGAAAAAAACAAAACTAACGGTTATCGGTGAGTCTCGGGAAGTGCTCCGACGGTAATAAAAAACTGTTTTAAACGCCTTGCTAATCCTCTAGTGTCACCAAATTCCTCCTGGTGCTGCGCGGTGAACGTTCAAAAAGACAACAATGCGACTTTGCTATAAATAAAACGAATTTCATGGTGGAAATGTCTAATTTCATCCCCAGATGAGAGCCTCCCTCCAGTCATTTTCCACCAACTCGCCTCCTTGTCCTCGTCTACGGAGCTTGCGCACGACACTAAAAGCATTGTGGGAAATTAAGTTTTATTAAAACATGTATAAGTAAACTAATTCAAGTTAATATAATGAAACACAACATTATCACCTCGCACTTGATATAAATGTATGTGTTATTGTGTAAAATGATGGCCTATACTAGTGGACTCAAAAAAATACAAAACAGAGATAGCCTGCATTTCAGTGAAACTACATTTCCCAGGTGTCCTGGCGTTGAAACAGATTTGCAAAGGAAGGCCGGACAGGCCATTGAACTTTCCGCAGCCCTCCCTGCCTAACATCACATCCTCTATTTTTGTCTGCTTCTTACGGCAGCCTTCTCTCATACCAGTTACATAGAATGAAAACAAGTTTTCAGTAGAATCAGGATATGAAGCCACAGCTTTCCCGTTCATTTCTGGTTTTGCTATAAGTGGAATGCACCTGCAGAGCACATTATGACGCGGTGGCAAACCTGCACAATAGACATAATTTAAGTAAATAAATCAAATGAATAAAACTATGAAATAAAATAAATAAATTCAATCAAGAATCCATAGATGAATAAAAAAAACCCCAACAACATCATAACCACCACTTGTGTGCTCCATATTTTTGTGGACTAGGGTCAGTTGCAGAATGCAAACACTGAACTGAAATGTTATACACAGCTCTAGTGAGAGTATAAGACTTTGTCACCATGGGCGGATTATGAGACAATAGGTCTCTGGGCACAGATTTGCAAAGGGCCCCGCCATCTCTCTTAACCCTTTAAGTCCTACCGTAGCGCCGGCGCTATGTTTTCTATGTCCGGAGTATTATTACCGTAACTCCGTCAAACTTTGTCCGATCAGAAAAATTCCAACGGTGCTGGAAAGCAGAGAACTGTGGGCACGCGCACGTATAAGATTCATTACGGTAGTCCCAACCATACGGCGTAGGCATTTATAACAAAACACCGGAAGTACCGGAAGACCGCTACACGGCTTCTCAGTACCATAACTCTGCGAAAGTTTGCTCAATCTGAAAAATTCCAACGCTGACAAAGACCTGAGAATCTGTGCTTTCTGTCAATATATGATGTGTGGTATATGTTATGGTAATATGGAACGGTACCGCCAAAACTGCAATTTTGACAGAAGACGAGGGAAAAAACAGAGTGAAGGAAGAGAGGAAAACGAGAGCGAGCAAAAGAGTGGTGTTTTTTCAAAAAATAGCGTTATATGGTATTATTTGTTTGTGTCTGCGCGTGTCTGTGTTTTATTACACACATTTCCAATGTCGGGAAGACCATCAAGAACGGTAAAACGGCCGCTACGGTTCATAGAGGAGGACAGCGATTTGGAGGATGCTTCTTCTGAACTGAGGTAAGTTATGTGAATAGCATATGTTGTTTTTAGCATACCTTGTTTGCAATACTTGCAACAAGTTTCCTGTGTTTAGCTCAACTTTATTATAATTATTTGTCAGAGAGTGTGTGTGTGTGTCATAATGTCAGACACACATATTATTTGTACATATTACGATGATGAAAATCATTTACTGCTATGATAAAAGGGAGAGATTTTCATTTGTTATCATCCATTTTACTTTCAGTGCTTACTCCTCTGATGAAGAGTCCTCCAGTGACAGGTATTGACATTGTGCCTTCTGTAAAATTATTTATTTTGTATTATGTGGATTTTTCTGTGGAAAATTGAAAGCACTTGTAATTGAAAAACCTTTATTTGTTGGTTAGGGGAAATTCAAGTTACACTGCACATATGCACCTGGATGATTTTGGATTAGGTGTGTTTGAGTGTGGGACTTGACAATTTTTCCCATTTTTTCCATCACTATCAGTGTTCTCTCTAGTGATGAGCAGCCATCCTGCAGTGGTCCCAGCCATGGTGACATCCCACCACGAGGGAGAGGGAGATGCAGAGGCAGAGGCCCTCAAGGCTCTGCTCACCACTCACCACCACACCAGCGTTGGAAAACAATGGACGACTCTGATGAGGCGGCTCCTACTCCCCCTAGATTTTTCCCCAAACGCCCCCCTGGTGTTCAACTCCCTTTCAACCTGGGTAACCCCAGCCCAGGTGAGATCTTTTGCAGGTTTGTCGATGCAGAGGTTCTCCAACACCTGGTTGAATGCACCAACAAAAAAGCAGCGACTAACCAGGAGAAGGGGAAAACATTTGTCTGGACACCGGTTTCAACTGATGAGCTGAAGAAGTTCATTGGGCTGCTGCTCTATATGTCTGTAGTCCAGATGCCACAGTTGAGTGACT